GCAGATATAAAAAAGGGAAATCAAAATCTTTTTAAAAGTTTTCTTCGCTAAATTTTTAAAGATGAGTTAATAAAGTAGCTTCTAATATTGGCCGAGTGATTCTAAACATTTTTAACCCAAAATAAACAAAATAAATTTGAAAGCATTTAAAATTTAGAAAACGAGAAAAATGGCTTATGAATGCATGAGTATGCAGACAACGTCAGCTCTACTCATATCATTGTGGGAAAATTCTACTACCAGTCCTTCATCACCTTAAACGAAATTGATCTGAGTTTTAGTTCTATCACTTTTTTGCAACTTGGTCGGAGCGTCAGGAAAACCTTGTGTAACGTACGAACCTTAGGTCTGTATGACTGAAATCTAATTTGCCGACCTACTGTTTGACGTGAAAGCGCCATTAAGTGTACTTCAAATGGCTGTTTATGCAGCTGCAACGAAGTTGATGGAACAGTGTGTCTAGTAGGGAGTTCTAAAACAGTCTTTCACAATCCTATCAATTGCACTTTGCCCATATAGGGCTCTAGCATTTCAGATTCAGGCCTGGCCCTTTACAACAAACTCTTTGACTTGCTCCAGAGAAAGCCTCCCATTCTATGCCCATAAATGTCCACCAGACTCTTTATCTAATCTACCTACGTTTTTGATGGTTATTTCCTGAAATATCGAGCTACCAAGGGCATATTTAGGATAAAAAACGATATTCATCAGATAAATACTAGCAGAAATATACGAGTTTTGATGAGTACGATTGATTAATTAGCTCACATTTTTATCCGCAACTATTTGCTCAACGAAATCGAGTGACTTCATGTTTAGTATACGGATCAATTCGCCTTGACTCTGGCTGCTTGGCGGCAACCAGACGAGCGTCAGGTTCAGCAATGATGTGGCAGAGTTGAGAGTCGGTTGTTGGTCGGTAGTGACGGTCGCACGGATAACGTAATTTCCGGGAGGAGCTCCTGACCTTGCGTAGACTACGCCCACACTTGAAACTCTGGAATTAAGATTATTGAGGCATTCATGCAATGTGAAGTAAAATTATAAACTGTTGTGAGGGATCTCGTGCAACCTTCACGGCATCGGGAGGGTAATTTATTGAATAAATGTATACATTTATCTGCTTGTTCTTCGGCAAAATACGACTTTCTTAGGAGCTCACAGAAGGCGAGTGCTGTATTTTATAACATGCAATCCCATGTATCCAAGCGGTGGCCCTTCTCTTATTTTGACTTGAGAACGGCTGCAAAATGACCTTTTCCTTGAAGCACTTATGGCTGATTAAACCTCACTCTAGAGGGAAGACCGTGCTTGGATTCGCTGAGGTTGGAGTCAGCAGTGCCAGACTCGAAGTAAAGATCAAGCTAAACGCAAATGTCACAAACTCAGGCCAGACAAGCTTGGTGCCAAAATTGAATCTAATTAAGAATCCATTCATTCAAGTGCTTGGGATGTATTGAAAGCATAATAAAGCAAACTTAGAAAGTACTTACGAGAAGCATAGCTCAATGTCGTCCTGTTGAACAAGCTGGAATCTTCTATGGGTATAATCACTGGAGAATTTTTCCTGTAGAGGCATTAAAGCCACTGGTAGATCAGCAACTGCTCTGGTATCTACAAAAGTATACACTAGGGGTTACTAATTGGAGATAGATATAAGAAAGATTAACAAAAAAAGAAGTTTTGCGGATTCATAGTTTCCGATTTAACCTATTAAGGGTCAGCACTGAGGTGGGGTTTATCAGATTTCATCATAAAAGAAGAAAAGCAAATTGATATAGCAATCTCAAACTTCTCAAGGATGATAGAAATTTATTATCACTTATGTGAATACGAGCATATTATGCTCAAAGGCTTCTAGAAATACGGCCTACACATAGAGGTTGGGTTTATATTATGATCCTAAAGCAAGTATTAACCAGCTTTCATGGAATATCTTCGGCTCTTCTTTGACATGGTGTTTCAGCGCAGAAGGTTTTAAAAAACTCGAATCTTCCGATGCTACTTAGTTATTCCCTTTATACTTATGGAAGCTAGGCCAATTTCTTAATTTGTCCATTTTCTGTGGCCATAAAGTAATACATTTATATCTCTTT